ATTTATCTACGGCTAGAAGTAATGGAGAAAAAAAAGAAGAAACTTGCCCTCCATCTCTTCCGAAGCGGAATCTTTTTCAAAAGAGAGAAGAATACAGATGAATATTAATGAAGTGTGACAAGATGAGTACCACTAGGAAAAAAGGCAAAAATGAAGATGGAGATAAAGTTGCTGGAAGGATTGTGTAAATAATGAAGATGCAATTGCCAAATTACAAAGAGAAATTGAAGATCTAAAAATGATAATTGAAAAGAATATTTTACCAGCTGGAAAAGAAAAATCATAGAACGACTAGTAAATGAATACTCCAGACTAAAAGAAAATCGTGACATTATTATTCAAAACTTCAAGGAAAAAGAAACGATTATGAAAAGTCAAAATAAAATCGAGAAAAATTTAGATGCCACAGAAAAGAAAGCTGATCAATCAGAGTAATCCTCAAAATTAATAGAACTAATGGAGATGTAAGAAAATATATAGTTGAACCATTGGTATTTAAATCAAAAGACAAGAACAAAAGTAGCACTGAAACAAAAAAATGTTTTAAAGAAAAAATTAAATCCTGCAGACATAGTAATATCTGATAATAAAATAATACACGCAAAACAAGGATGCTTAGACATTTACGAAAAATCATTAGCAAAATTGAACAATAAAGTGGAACTAACATTAGGAGAAGATTATGAGATTAAAACTGGTGGTGCAGTTAATCTGAAAATAAAAATAATTAGTGTTTGTGAGACTGAAGTTGAACTGAATGAGGAAGAAGAATTTGTGACTAGATTTCAAAAGCAAAACATACCTGAAGAAGTTGGGTAGTGAAGTGAAGGCAGTTCATAAATACAAGAGTAGTAAAAGTAGAAACCAAACAGGTAGTGCGATAATAAAGAAAATGAGTACGCGCTGCATAAAAAGACAGTCGATATATTTAGGATGGAATAGTCATAAATTTTGTTCTACAATGTTACAAATGTTAGCAATTTGGACACTGGGCTGAGAAGTGTAATTCTGTTGTAGTATCTCCACAATGCAGTCAAAATCACATGAAGGAAGCATGCAAGGCTGAAAACTATACCTGCAATAATTGTAAATATACCTACAGAGTACTAAAGGTTCCAAATACTTGATATGACCATGAAGTACGTGAAAAAACCTGCCCCAGCTATTTAAACAGAATCCAAATAGTTATAAAAGGATTGCTACATAACCTTCTACAGCTTAAATTAAAAACTGAGGCATTTGTAAAATCTCTTTTTGTTAGGGACTTATATTTTAGGAGATCCAAGTGATATGTTATTTTTGTTATGTTCGTCTTAATGTAATATTGTAGCTTTTAGCTATTACACATCCATTCCATCGTATTCTCTTCTATCGATGACAAACTCGAGAGTTTCAAACACGGATCGCCGGTTGCCACATGTCTTGGTGATAGTGTGGCTACGTTTACAAATTGGCAAACGACGCCAGATCAGGGAGCGTCCATATACTTGAATAGAATAGTCTGGCTACGGATGCTACCGTAAATGAATTCGATTTTTTTTAAAACACGAGCATTGTTGAGAAAATTGCAACAAGTTGAGTTGGCAAAATTTTCCAACCCATTGATAAGTTGGATAATAATCTAATAAATAGTGGTAACACTTATTACCCTCTGCCGCGTTTTTCAATTTTCAATTTGCGGCAGAGTGTAAAACATAATATTGGCAAAACTGTTGAGACATGGCAAAATGTCGTAAAAAAGTTGGTTGGCTTTCTCTTTTATAACCTGCCCCTCCCCCCCTCCCTTAGTTGGAATAACAGATATAATCATGTTAAATCTGTTCCAGAGAAAAACAAAAGCAGTTGAAAGAAGAGAAGAAAGAAAAGCGCAAGACTGTAAAGGTAGAGCGTAAGCGGTAGCAGATTTTATTTTAACCTAAGTTTCTGTAATATAGTGTGGAAACAGATCTCCATTTTTATTTTTACAATTGTTTTTAAAATCATACTTGTGAATTTTTTGGAAACAATAAATGTTTACCTAATCACTTTTAAGCATTCAATGTCCATACAAAACTTCGGTTTTGTACGACCACAACAGAATCATTACATACACGGTCGCTCCAAAGGGATCGACATCGCCTCACTTCATTTTCCAGGTATCCTATTTTTCTCTAAATGTAGTGGCTCGACCGATTTTTCAATCTGCCTATGTGCGCGGATGTCCGTGTATGCTCACAGACATACTGTAACTAGAACTTTGAGTACCAATGAGGTACCCTCGTACATCGGCGCTTAGGCAACCAAAAATACGTCGCGAACGTTCGCCACGCGAGAAACATAGACCGCCATCTAGCTAGCGTTGATGAAGGCCTAGAAAACGCGAGAGTGCATTTGGACTTGTCAGAGAAAGCAGAAGCGGGCGGAGTCGAGGATAATCAGCATCAGCGCGATAGTCCAGTCGACATAGTCATACATTTGTAATAATTTAGTCGCAAATGTTATAACAAACTAGTATGAGTATATATTAGACTTTAAATAGTAACACTGGTATCACGAGTGAGATTAGTGAACGTACGTGCGCGCATCGGGAATTACTTTAACCGTTTGTAGAGACAGAACTGTGAGTGTGTCGGAAGTGACTTCAACCGTTTTAGAGACTGAACCTTGCGTGTGTGGGAGTAACTGTAACTTATTTCAAATACTGAACTGTGCATGTATCCGGAGTGACTGTGACTGTTTCACCGTGTGTGCATGTGAGAGACAATTCCTGCGAAAAAGCTGTGTGATCTGAAGGTGGTGAACGTGAGAAGGGAGCTATATGAGGATGAGCTCGAAACGACGGGATCGAAGGCGACGCTGGTGACCCATCTTCGAGACTACTTAGAAAGTCGTGGGGAAGATCCAGAGATCTTCGTATTCGACGTTCACGACGCCGTCTTCTCCTATCTGGCCTGAGGGATGAGAACCAGGCCCTTTCTCAGAAACTGGATGACACCAGCCGCACCCTCCCGAGAGAAGCAGGTCGTGTCACAGATGCTGAGAGAGGACAATCAGACCCTGTCGCAGATGGTGAGGAAGGAGAACCAACCCTGTCGCAGATGCTGAAGGAGGAGAATCAGGCGCTGCCAAAGATGCTAAATGAGCAGAACCAGTCCCCATTCGGCGGAGAAGCTTGCCACGTGCTAAAATCACGTCACCTTTTTTTACTTTTTGATAACTTCCTAGTAACTTGAATTTCTCGTTATTAATGGTAGAGTGAGCATTCCTTTTCAATGAGTTTATTTTGGTAAATTTCATAGTTTATTGATTGTATAATTTCACACGTATTATATCTTTCTTTCTCAGTGATTCAGTATTGTGTTGGAAAAAACTGTCGTTTTTCTCCGTTACAAGGTTTTCTATCGAACATATCTTCTTCAAAGCCACTCATTGAACCTTTCTTTATAAAGTTAGGTGTTTCGTGTCAGTCACTTTTCTCCTGAGATTGTGGTGTGAGCGCCTTTGGTTTAACCTCCAGATTCTGGGATATTAGGTGCCGAACACCAGTTTGTGGAGCCTCCCGTGAAGCAGGTAGAACCTCTACCTGGTGCAGCCAAGCTGAAACCTCAAACATTCTATAATAAGACGTCCTGGCCGGACTATTTGAAGCAGTTCGAGTCAATGGTTGGTTCAGCAAGGCTTAGGCCGCCGCATTGACTGCAGCCCTCAGAGATGCTCTGGATATTTCTCCAGACAGAAGCAGCAGTGAAGGACATGGACAACTACAAGCAGCTAGTCAAGCGCTTGGAAATGCGGTGGAGACATGACCATCTGAAGCAGGTATACAAGTCGCAGATTGAACCTTCTACATCCTGTTGGAGTGTCTAGCAGTGCAGACGTTTCCCCAGGTCAAGCTGCAAAGGTGCAATAGCTAATCAACCGTTGGCGAAACATCTTCGAATGTGAAGGCTCCAACTTAGGGCGGACGAAGCGCAATATCGACACAGCTGATGAAAAGCCAGAAGACTCCTAGAGGTTAAGCAAGAGGTATCTTTTAAGATAGTCGAGCAGATGAAGCAATGTGTGGTAACGCCATCTAGAGGCCTGTGAGCGTTACCCCTGGTGCTGGTGGAAAAAAAAAGATGGGAGTACCCATTTCTGCGTTGACTATCGTCATTTGAAGACCATCAAGGACAGCCATCCGTTGTCAAGCATCGATCACACGTTGGATGCGCTGGCAAGTATAGATGGACCTGGCCGAACGAGAGAATACTGCCTTTATAATTTGACATAGACTCTGGCAGTTCATCGTAATGCTTTTCGGGTTGTACAACGCACCTGCTACGTCCGAGAGGCTGATGACAATGGTACTGTCGGGGCTGACCTGGGAAACATGCCTCGTGTACCTGGACGACATCATCGTGGTAGTCAAGACGTTCGACAAGCAGCCGAAGAATTTAGAAGAGGTGTTCTGGAGGCTCCGAGATGCAAACTTGAAATTGAAGCCGAAGACGTGCACTCTGTTCCGGGAGAAGGTGAACTGCTCGGGTCACGTAGTCAGCCTAGATGGGGCTGCGGTTGATCCGGAGAAAGTGCGCGCGATCAAGAAGTGGTCGATTCCTGCAGACAAGTTGCAGTTGATAGGTTTTATTGGATTATGTACGTGCTACAGACGGTTTGTTCCTACCTTCGCAAATACTGCAATATCATTCACCCACCTCACCGAGGCAACTCATCTGTGATGAAAACTGCCAACGCGCCTTTGAACAACTGATACATCATTTGGTCAGCGCCTTGATCTTAGGATATCCAAATCGAGAAGGGAAGTTCGTTCTAGATATAAACGTAAGCGACATCGATACTGATGCAGTGCTGCCACAAGTCAAAGACGGCCAGGAGCGTGTCACCGGGTATTTCAGCAAAACCCTATCGAAAACAACGAAACTATTACGTTACTAGACGAGAGTTGTTGTCTGTGGTCAAGGCAGTGGAGCACTATTACAAATACCTCTACGTGCGAAAATTTCTGACCCGGATGGACCATGAATGGCTGCTGCAGTTTAAGGTTCCCGGAAGACAAGTGGCTTGATAGATCGAGCGACTCGCCGAGTATGATTTTGAGATCGAGCATCATGCTGGACAGCAAACATCTGCAAGACGACGGTAGTGGATGATTCTTGGTTGCTTGACAATATCCGTTAAGACCAGGAGCGCGATTCATCAAACGGCTGAAGCAGTGGAAGGAAGAGGACCGTTGGCCATCCTGGGAGGAAATCGCTCCACTGTCAAAAGTGGTCAAGTCATACTGGGCCCAGTGGATCTCTGATGCTAGAAGACGGCCTCCTGAAACGAGCCCTGGAGAACGATAATGAGTATCAGCGGAGGCTGCAACTGGTGGTGCCAAGAACCGGGTGACCGAGGATATCCGTTAATTCCACGATAGAAGGTAATGTGTACACATGGGCGTCAAGAAGACCCTTGGAATGGTTCGAGAGAGCAGTTATATTGGACGAGCTGGTCGAAAGACGTCAGGCAGTGGTGCTAGAAATACATAACGTGTTCTGCGAGCAATGGACCGCTGCGGCAGCCCAAAGCGAACATGAGCAGACCATTGGAGAGGATAGCCATCGACATCTCGAGATCGTTTCCGTAATCGGAGACTGGGAACAAATACATCCTAGTTGCTATGTATGTAACGTACTATTTCAGTAAGTGCAGCCGTTCTGGTCGACGACATTATCAGCTGATTTGTGCCACTAGAGCTGCACTCTAACCAGCAGGGGTATTACATAATTTAAAAAGTTACATTGCCGGTTTTTTTTTTGACATTATGTAGGTTTTCCCCGTGTTCCTTAAGGCGTATCGACAGGGGTATTACGTATCTTGAAAAGTGGCACTGTTGTACAGTTGTTGTGTACACGTTCCGTAGCTGAATTATTGGAGGTCTAAGCTATAAGTTGTATACTATAGCTGGAAGAAAACGGCAGTGCATAGCGAGGATTTGTGTGCTAATAATCTGTGTTGATGATAATTCCATTGGTTGACACTTACACTTACTTGAGATGTATGCAAAGCTAAAACTTAGTTGCGCATCCGCTTTTATTCAACCTGGAAATAATACATGCAGTTTTGCTGAATTTCAAAAAACAGCGATAAAAAAAGAAAATCCCTGGTTGGTGAAGTATATTAAAACTAACAGGTGAGTTAATATGGTACGTACAGGAATATTTATAAAACGTAGTTATTACATTTCACATTCATTTTTATTTCATTTGAATTTTATAGAAATTTATTTTACGATGTCAAGTAGAAAATACAAATCAGCACCTATAACATCTTAGTAGTCCATTTACGCCCCAGCTCAACGAAGATGCGGCGCAGCAAAGTGGCAGCTGCCTAAGCGTTGCAATAGCCCTGAAACTAGGAACAAGTGGATTCGACAGGGTATAACTCATGCTCGGGATATCGCCGGCAGTTGCTGTTCATATTCGGTTCATACATAGCGTGTGTGCATGTCGTCTACGGATACAGCAGTTGAAAGTGAGAATATTTCTTCCAATGCTTCCTTCAGCCATGCTTCCTCTTCAGTGATTTTATTTTATTTTATTCATTACAACACCCTACAGTCAATACCAATTACAGGGTGAGGAAACACGGAACATAACACAGATATGAAAGACAATAATAAGTAATAGACTAGAAAGTGTAAAAGATACATGCTGGTTACTTAATGGTATTTTTTGTGTCTGCAATTCTGCAGTTAAATATATCAATCCCGTTCCTTGCAGAATTGTAATTCCTACACATCACATGTAAAGGGGAATAGTGTAAATAATTTGTCCGTGCCGCAGGTAGATAAAACGTAACGTTTTGTCGGGATGTCAGCCTAGGTACATTAAATGATAACTGACCCAAGAAAGCTAAATCATCACTAGCATTTCTGATCAATTTAAACAGAAAAGTCACTGACTGGCAAGTACGCCTTGCTTCAAGACTGCTGATTAGATGTTTTTAAAGTAAGGAATCATGAGGTATACCTATGGGCGGGTAAACGCCATCCACTTTCAGTGACAAATATTTTAAGAAACGTCTTTGATCACATTCAAGCCTACTTATATGAATAATATGATGCGGATTCCAAATTAGCATTGCATACACAAGCTTCGACCTAACATATGCATAATACAGCAACTTCAAGGTGGTACTCTGAGCGAAGTCACGGCAGTTTCTTACAATAAAGCCGTATATGCGGTTTGCCTCGGAAATTTTGCTGTCAATGTGTTTGACGAATGTTGTTGGGAGCCAAATGTCACGTCTAAGTCACATAAAGTTGAAGTACTCTGAATAGAGCTACCTGACAGGGTATAGTCAAATAACAGAGGATTTTTCTTCAAAGTGTAAGACATTACGTAACATTTATTGATGTTTAATGACAGATTGTTTTGTGATGTCTCCTCCTCGAAAAGGTGGCATGAAGGGACATCTGAATATTCTGGCAAAAGAAATTGTGCTTAACGTTTGTAAGAGCCAAATTTTTGAGCATCCTAAAATAAAAATTCATGATATTTAAATACGGGTGGCGAACAAAACAAGCTTATGTCCTAAGACAATTTACAACATTGTTAAAAGATATAAAAAAAATTGTCTCCACCACACAAGAGGGTGCATTACACGAAGCTCTTGGATACAGTTGATAACTTTGATCGGAATGCAATCAGACGCAAAGTCCATAAATTTTTTGAAAGGCAGGAACTTCCCACAATGCACAAAGTATTACAGAAGATTAATAGTGATGAAGACTTTCCTACTTTCAAAAGGACCACATTCTATAGTTTACTCAAAGAACTTCATTTTGAGTATATAAAACGGGTCAGAAATAGTATTTTGATGGACAGCTAAGAGATTATTTTATGGAGAAATTATTTAAAATCAATAAAGAAATACCGGGACCAGGATAGGAAGATTTATTATTTGGATGAAACCTGGATAAATGCAGGACATACAAAACCTAAGGTATGGGCTGATTCTACAATTAAATCAGCAAGATAACCACTGGCCTAAAGAATCCGTCAGGTACGTGTATCTAACCAATTCGTCATTCGTGCTGTAAAAATGGTGTCAAGTGGACTGACACACACTGAAAACTTAGCTGCACTAAACTTATCTGTATCTGGTAGATTTGGAAGCAACACCTGTTAGATACTCTGCTTGTATAATTATCTTCAGGAAAAGGAAAACGATTTGTTATCAGTCACATTGGCAGTGAAGATGGCTTTGTACCCTACGGGCATTTGAGACAAGGAAAACCACCGACTACCATGAAGAAATGGACGAAAGTTCATTTGAACGATGTTTTGAAGAAACGCTCCCAAAGCTTGAAGACAATGCCGTCATTGTACTTGAAAATGCTGCATACCACACTAGAAAACTATAAAAAATCCCCACAATGTCCACAAGTAAGGCAGAAATTCAACAACGGCTCCTATGAAAAGACATTGGTTTCAATAAAAATATGATCAAAGCAGGACTGATCCACCTAGTCAGGCAGCACATATATAAATATAATCCTAATGTTATTGACGATATGGCTAACAACCAAAATAAGACCGTTTTAAGGCCCTTATCACTGCGAATTAAATCCCATTGAAATGGTGTGGGCAAATAGAAAACACTATGCGGCTTCAAACAATAGAACATTCAAATTTTCTGACGTGAGAATTTTGTTTTTATGAAGCTGTCAACAGAGTGACAGCAAACCATTGGAGATATTGCATTGGACACGTTCAAGAGACAATCGAAACGAAGATGTGAGATCTGGACAATATGATCGATATTCAAATTGAACCTGTAATAATTTATATTAACCATTCGGACGATGATTCAAGTACTTCCAGCGAATAAAGAATTGTGTATGTACACTTCTTTCTATAAAAATAGTCATTGAGGAAAATATGGACGTGTACAATCTCGCTTTTGGGGATGTTGTGTTTTGTCTGGGTATAAAGGGACTACGAATCGGGTATAATTGTGAGGCAGTGCGAAACTGTTTTGTATGTGATGCGTCATTCCTAATTTTTCTGTGATGTGACGTAATTACATACAATGCGGGTGCGGTGCTGATTTCCCGTAGTGCTTCTCAAAGTTTTTGAAAACCGAAAAAAAACGGGAAGAATCGTAGAGTATAACTTTGAACATAACCTCTCTTCAGAAAGGACAACACAAATATCACTGATTTTACAGACATGCAGACCAATACACACAATCATCCAGATGTGATCTTGCTACTCTGCTACTCAACCTCACATCTTCTCAGAGTATACTCGACATAGATGGACACTCTGCGCTCATAGCAAGCAAACACGGAATTTACTATTTGCACACTAGGAACTATCTAGGCAGCAAGCTGACATTCTGTGTTTGATAGGTTTTTTACGTAATAGCCCAGCCGGTGTGGCTGTATAACCCCAAACGGAGGAAAGGCCGCTTATCAAAGCTGCAGCAGCACTCTGAAGGCCCTTGTGAGATTCTGAAGAGGGTCAACGAATCCGGAAGGGTGCCAAGGGAAAGCCGAGAGTCGTACATACACTACAGTCGACTGGCCCCTTTTGCTGGAAGTAACGAGGAAGCAAGCGCCCACCGCTTTCAAGCAGAAGACGTTGTGCTATCGTTGGAAGAATTCCTCTTAACTTATTTGGGAATCGGCAAGGCTAGTTTTGGCGAGAAGTACAAGAGGTCTTGTTTCCGGTGCCTCGAGAATAGTCGCGGTCATACACTAAATATTCCTGTTCACGATAACAACTAATTTAAAAAAAATATTTTCTTATATAGGAGCTGCATTGTATAACAAAATTCCGCATTCATTCAAGCAACTACCACTTGGTAGATTTAAAGAGGTCAAATCAAGGTCCTCATATTTAATGACGCCCTATCTATATAACTGTAATCAACTTTTTTTCTAAATTATTAATGATCTTATTGTAAAGATGTTTGTAAGCAATTGGTGCCCTGGTTAGGGAGTAAGAACAGCTGCTAGCGGAATCCTCGCCAAGAAAATAAAAGGAATATTATTATATTGCGTAGCCGAGCACCTGAACACCTCAAGAGGAGTAACTTCCCTGTTCCAGAAGTTTGGATGCCACTGGAGGTTCGAACAACAGCAGACAGGTTCGGAGGGTGCTGCAGAGTTACGGATGGTAAGCGATTCACGCGCTGCTCACTATAGAATGGTCCTGACCGACGACAACTCCTCATGACCTGTAACGCCCGGAAGCTTGTGATGCCGAAGCTGGAAAGTGCCAAGCCACTTCTACAGAACATCAAGACTCCATCAAGGGACTTGACTGCCGATATCGCCAAGATCCAGGGAACATGTTTCGGGACGAAACGGTCTTGAGGAGGGGCTTTATTGTAAAGCCCTCGTAACTAGAACATTGAGCGCCAATGAGGCAGCCTCGTACATCGGCACTTAGGCCACCAAAACTAAGTACGTCGCGAACAGATTGATAATTTTTTGGTGCACTTGGGTTTGAAAAGTATGCCTTTTTCTCTTTTTTTTAATTTTACTTTCGATGTAATGAACCAAATCTGTTTGTGGATAGTGTATTCTTTTGAACATCTGCTAGAGACTATATGGTTAAGTGTAAGAGTAGCAGCATGCTAAACTTCGCCATGTAAGTCTGACATTTGGGTATACTACAATAAATTAGTGCGAGAGTAATAAATTGGTTAAAGTGAAAACGGTGTTTTCGTTACAATACTTTCTCTAGTTTTGTGTCGTCAACTCGAAAATTTTCTTGTGAACGTATGAGTACTTATTTACGCTTGTCACTGTCAGTGTGACAACCGATTTCCACGGGCTTGCGATTTGAGTTTGCCTTTTGCTGATGCTCTTAATATAAAACGCGCAATTATTTGTAGTATGGTACGAATAAATGTTGTTATTGGAAACTTGCTAGAAAAAGTTAGGTATTGAAAGGAATGTGTTACCGGAACTGCTGCGGTAAGCAGGTAAATGAACGCAATACCTTGAAGTACCTAGCAACAGAGATTGGATAGAATAAACTTAATCACCAAACAATTAAGGTGTTTTACTATGAGAGTAAAAGCCCTAGTTACAATCCAGTATGGCCTGAAAATATATCTTGTGGACAATGTCAACGTTAACGGCCCTTTATCACCCAATCATGTGTGATAGAATAGCTGCGTTAATCGGTTTGTGCAGTATGCAATTTCAAAATCAAGCTCCGCAGATGGTACAGTTAGTCGATCTGTTTACCTGGTTTTTATACGTTGTTTGTCGTTTTGGGCAACGAATTCAGGCTAGGTAGAAGGAGCAGACCTACGATTTATTTGTCGCTAAAATACCAGTCTGCAGTCAGGATGGAAGTGCATACATATTTTTATAATCACGGATCCGGATGATATTTATTGAGAAAGCAATATGGTATTAATTAATTTATTGAAATCATTACAAACGAAACTTTAGCAAATTTTTGAGAACTGTTATATCGAATTATTTGGTACAGATTACGTTGCCTGATATTTTGCTTTTTCAAAATTCACATGTTCCCAACTTAAGAAGTTTGATGTACTACCATATTTACTGTTTGAAAAAGCATCACAAAAACAAACACAGGTGGGCTGAGCTTATCAAACGCCACTTAATCCCAACTTTTGCAAAACTGGGTGAAAAAACACTCCTACCACTTTCTCCTCGATTAGGTAAAGAATATCAATGGATACAATCAATTTAGGTATTTTACAGAGATCTGTATTCTGTTGGCTAGCTGCAATCTTGAATAATAATTCTCGTACACATTGTGAGTCGCTATGTACATCGATCTTAGCCTAGAGTAGGAGAAATCAACCAACCCCCCTCTGTTTAGATGTTTAGACAGATAACCCACGATGAGCATGAGGAACAAATTCTTATACTCCTACCGAATTATGCAATTCTAAAAGCAAATTTTCGATATTTTTTTGTAAACTGAATCAATAAATATCAATATGTTCTTTTATGTTGTCTCGTGGAAATGTCACAATGAAGAATTTATTAATTGGTTGAACATCTTCAAAGTTATGATTCCCATGATGCCATGATGAATTCTTGTAGTATTTTGCTTGAAGAGTTTGATGTTTACGACAAACAAAAATTAGGCCACATTTAAGGTAAATTTTTCTGCAACTCCATGTTGAAGATAGTAAAATACATACTGGAAATATGGCTGTGTTCATAGGACTCCATTGACTGGCGGAATTAGACCACATGTGTTTTAATTTATTTATTGTATGATTTTTTGGCAACTACTGTGGCCGCCACTTTCAAGTACAATGTGATGGCCAAAACGTCGTGCAATAAACAGAAATTAAAACGCATACGTTGATTGGTCGGCCAGACAATTAAGAAACATGGCCTCTAGTATGCCCATATTATTTTTTTTACTAAAAATACGTGCTTAGGGAAATAAAATGACTTTACGCCATACTTATCTTTCTATTCCTTTAAAGGTTGTAAAAAATAAATTGCTAATTTAAGATAATAGAATAATTTATTTTCTACTGTTCTTACATTTATGGGAGGAGTCACATCTGATCGTAATCCATATTTTAGGATTTTAAGATGCGTTCTTTGTTGAATCATTCTAGAGTCTGAAAGAACAGCGCCATATACGAGGCCGTATATATGAGAAAAAAATGAATTCAGAAACTTATTTGCAAAAAGTTAGTGCACCAAACACTGTTAACTCTTCAAACTAGATTTCTAAATTCATTTTTGTGTGCTGCTACCGTCTTATATATGGCGCTAGGATCTTTCAGATCCCCTTTTGGGTGCCGATAGACCACATTAATCAACGGTTAAAGGTGATCTGCAATATGACCTAATTTTTGATTGCTTGAAAAAGGTAACATAGAAAAACACGGGTCTTTATATAACGGCCTAAGCATAAACGCTATTTTGACAAAATTAGAATGTCAATATAAAAATTAAAAACTTAATGTCACATGCCGTCATGATTACCCATATTATTCTATTATTGTATTTGCAACCCATATTCGTTTTAGATGCAGTTTATAAAACATCGGTATACGGACAAATTGTTACGGGATCTGAGCATATAATGACCACTTCACTTTGAAACTTCGAAAATGGCCAAAACGAAAGTTGAAGGGCTTGAGGGCAATAAGGTACTTGAGCCGCATTTGGATAAAAAACACATTTCCATCCAAAAGCATCCGTGGCATCCGAAGTTGATTTTTTTGACAATTTTTTTATATAACGTTATTGTACAACCACCGATTGCCACACATTTTTACGCCGAAAAAGGTATGACCTCTTAAATTCCAAGACGGGCGACTAACGGAAATTAGTCGTTGGTGAAATCAATGGATGTTTCAGTAATTCAGAGAACAAAAATGGTTCTTGATTCAGTTAAGATGAGACTATCCTCTGAGTGATAGTAACTGTGAGCGTGACTCAACTTTTTCAGAGTTGAACTCCAGACAAGATCGAAGTCTCTTCAAGTTAAAGGAGTTTCAGTAAACTAAAATTAATCAAAAATTATTTGCGGGCAACAATGACCCAATCGCGGCTTAGCAATCTTGGTATATTAGCCATCGAACATGAGGCAATACAAAACATAAATTTTGATGAAGTTATTTCTGAGTTTGCAACTGTCAAAGCTAGGAAGAAGATATTTTAATTGTAAGGTAAAAATATTTTTTCTGTCTTAGTTTTTATTGAGTTTTGATATTTTTTCGATATTTTAAATATGAATATTAAATGATCCATGACGTTTATAAATCATATAAAATTTATTGCTTTTGACTGGGATGACACCACCAACTTCCGCACCGGGTGCCACCCACTGCTTTACTGCCATTATACGAGTATATGGCTTGTTTGGTACATAGAAAATCTATTTTTGGTATTAGTTTCACAATACCAATACATAATGATCTAAAACTATGTATTTATCAGAATATATCATTATCCTTATTGAGAACCAATATTGTGGACCGCAAAACTTTAATACGTATTAATAGTGTCATTTTGTAATGAGCGACTTATGCCCTTCTTGACCAAATAAATTTATCTATGTGGCTTGTGATCCCCAGTCTTCATGAGCATTCATAATCTTTTCAAAATCGAGAACGCACCATCTTGTACAGTCCTAATGGAAAAACAACGTTTACACATTATATAAGGCATCAAGCCACAGTATTTTTAGAAATGAATTAATTTTACAAACATGCCTTACATTTTGTTTATTCTGTTGTCACCAAATCTTTGTTCCTGAAAATGTAAACGTATTGTAGCATTTCAATGGATATTAAGCAAGAAACGTGATTTAAGGTTGACATACATACATTTACAAAGTCAATGTGGCTTAAGTACCTTATTGCTCCAAGCGGGTAGTATCGAACCTAAACGTTATTTTGACAAGATTAGAAATGCCAAAATAAAGGTTAAAAATACCATTCTATCATTGTATTTGCAACATATCATCCATTTTTATTTTCCCAACAGACTTAGTTTAGTTGCAGTTTATGAAAAAGTATTTACAAACATTGAAATATACTAGGCTTGTTCAATAAGTACCCGTATTTGTCGACAGAGGGCGTTCCTGTGGGAAGTTGGTGTTATCATCATGTGCTGCCGTCTATCAAACGACGGCACAACAAATTTCAGACTGATTGATAGGTTAGTTTGGATTTGGCAGCCATTCGAGAAACACGTGTATCATGATTTGATGGAAGAAGAGCAGTATCGTTCGGTAATTCGCTTTTTGTTTTTGGATGGGAAAAATGCGAGATAAAAGTAAAGTGGGATGCTGTTTATGGGGACACTTTGCCGTCTATGACCACAGTTAGATATTGGTTCAACGAATTTAAACGTAGACGAACATCCATTTTTGATGAGGAGCGACCAGGACGGCCAGCCGACGTGGTTACCGAGGAAATAATTCAAAAAGTCCACGACAGGATTCTCCCTGATCGACGAATGAAAGTGAGCGAGATAGCAGAGGCCGTAGGTCTGTCGACCGGAACGGCAAAGAATATTTTACATGGTAAGTTGGAGATGAAAAAATTGTCGGCCCGATGGGTGCCGAAGCAGTGTTTGGAACAATTTAAGCGAGATCCGGAGGAGTTTTTACAACGAGTTGTCACCGTTGATGAAACCTAGATTCATCATTACACACCAGAAACTAAGCAACAATCAAGACAATGTATTTCCCCCTGTGAATCTGCTCCA